ATCACCTCTCCTGCCCTTGAGGAATCACTTTTAAAGGAATGATAAATCCTGCTGGAATACTCGTGATTGAGTTGGGGACAACACAATAGTTTGTTTTGCTTGTGTTTGTTGCTATCTTCAAAGCTGTGGTGGTCTGTATCACCCAGGAAGATACCGGGAGGAATGAGTCCCTGTGCCTTCCTGGAGTGTTTCCAGCAAGCCACTCCTTTAATGTGGTGTAATGTACCACCTAGGGCCGACATCAGAAACTACACTGCTATCTGGAACATTTCACTTGCAAAAGAAATGTGTGTATTTGTGTGTGTGTGTGTGCTGTTGTATAAAAATAAAATAAAAATCTGGGTTAAGGAGAAAAGAGGGACCTTCTTAATAATTGTAATGCATTTTAGAAAGTGAAAAACTGACTTTTGTTTCTCAGAAAACATGATTTCAGGCAAAGCTCTATTTTGCAGAAACTTAATAGTGGAGAAAGCCTGTAAATCTCCTTAACAGTCAGCAAAAAAAAAAGAAAAATTTGGATTATATGGGATTGTCATGGTTTAACCCCAGCTGGCAACTAAGCACCACACAGCCACTTGCTCCCAGCAGGCTGGAGTAGAGACCTGGGAGAGTAGAAGTGAGAACTCATGGGCTGAGATAAGACAGTTTCATAGGGAGAGCAAAACAAGGAATTCATTCACCACTGCCCAGGGCCAGGCACATGTCCATCCATTTCTAGGGCATTGGTGCTCCATGGTGTGTAACAGTGACTTGTGAAGACAAATGCTCTTGCTCCCAAAGTCCCCCTTTGCTTCTTTTTCCCCTGGCTCTATGTACTGATCATGATGCCATATGGTCTGGAATGTCCCTTTGGTCAGTGGGGTCAGCTGTCTGGGCTGTGTCCTCTCCCAGCTCCCTGTGCACTCCCAGCCTCCTTGCTGCTGAGGTGAGGAGCTGAAAAGCCCTGACTCTGTGTAAAGACAATTCAACAATAACGAAAATATCCCTGGGTTATCAATACTGTTTTCCTCACAAATCCAAGATATGGCCCCATACTTGCTACTGTGAAAGAAATTAACTCTATCCCAGCTTTAACAAGCACAGGGATCCTTTTGCTTTATTACAGCTTGAGGCAAATTTTTTGCTGAGTGTAAATTTTTACCTATAGTTTCTTCCGAGTTAAAAATCATTCTTCTGGTAAATGTCTTTCCTGCTGGCTGTCAGTGGGCTGATGCTCAGCTGTGGCAGTTGGACGACAGTGTGTGCTCCAGTGTTTAAAAGTGTCCTCCAAAGTCATCTTCTTACACTGTTTAATTCTGGAGGCTCTAAAGCTTTATAAAATATGAAATAGCAAATTATCCTAGGCTTATGGAGTCTCCTAAGCTCTAAATATTGAGTTTAATAATCATCACCATGAGATAATTAAGTAATCACTCAGCTGGATTTATTAAATGATGCTGCTATTTCAAAACCTAATCACAAAGTTAATTTCTGTAAATTATGGTGAAACCCAAGAATGGCAATGGTCAGCAAAGACATAGGTGGTTCCCTAAGATTTTTCATGCTTGGTGTTACTGGTAGATGCTAGGATTTTCATTGCAAAGCCCAACAATATTAAAAATGTATACAGTATAGGGAATGAATGCATAAGCTTTCTCTCCTTGTCACTTTTAAGTATTGAAGCTCATGCCTGAAGTCTCTTGAACAAGGAGCACATTGAGGTGGCCTAGCTATTGACGGTCTATAAGAAGCAGGTAAATGAGGTACTGCCCTCATCAAAATATGGGTAAATTGCATTTGCTCAGGTTTAGCCTTGTTTGCACATACCTGATAACTGCTTGTACAAATCCCTAATATAAATACAAATGCTGTCAGTTCTCATCTGATTTTCACTGATATGAGCTCAGGGGAAGCATTTTAGCTTTCAAAGGAAGGTCTGTAAGCACACGGACAAGCGAAGAGCAAGAACTAACACTTTCCCTCAGTATAAGTCACCCCAGATTTGTCAGGGTAGTCCTAGCACATTATTTCCTAAATCTATGTCTCGGGGTGGAGGGGTGTAGTCATGGGGATATTTTTCTTCTGCAGCACTTTATTCTCATATGTGCCTCTTTCCATCACCCCAAGATCAGTGGAGGGCACCAACCCTAGGGTCTACCCAATGCAGGGGTCATCTACCCAATGCAGGATATAAATACAAATGCTGTCAGTTCTCATCTGATTTTCACTGATATGAGCTCAGGGGAAGCATTTTAGCTTTCAAAGGAAGGTCTGTAAGCACACGGACAAGCGAAGAGCAAGAACTAACACTTTCCCTCAGTATAAGTCACCCCAGATTTGTCAGGGTAGTCCTAGCACATTATTTCCTAAATCTATGTCTCGGGGTGGAGGGGTGTAGTCATGGGGATATTTTTCTTCTGCAGCACTTTATTCTCATATGTGCCTCTTTCCATCACCCCAAGATCAGTGGAGGGCACCAACCCTAGGGTTAGGTAGCATCTACCCAATGCAGAGGAAGGGGAGTTTCCCTTAAATAAAGACTCAGAAAGGTAGGTAGTAAGTCTCCTGTGGTAGATGCAGTGATTTCAGGAGGGCAGAAATTCTGTGTTGGATCACAGAATCACACCTTGGTGAGGAGAGGGTTCTGTGCTGTGTCATTGGACCAGCCATGGTGAGGTTGATCTGCACGTGTGTGAGCCTGGTATTTTCCAAGTGTGGGCAAGCTGAGCACATGTTACCCAGCCATCTGTCTGGGGAGTTCTTCTGGCTCCTGGGATAGAGATCTTGCTGGGGGTTGGCTGCTGCCAAATCATTTTTTCAGCCTGCTGCTCTCTCCAGGGGAAACCTTAGGGAAGGGAGGATCTACAGGTGAAGTGTAGGACATACTATCACAGGAATGACATTGTTACATATCCTTGCATTCTAAGGATCTCACAGCCTCAGAGTTCAATTGCATCCCAAGCTTTTTACCTTCTCAAGTAAGGTAAACTTGAATGGGGGGAGCTTTGGGCTCCTTTGGTCTCACCTTAGTGTAACTACCCCAGTGCCCTGGTTGCACTCAGTAGGATCCCTGTAGCAGCTGCAGTGCTTCAGGCAGGGCCTTTGACTGTTCTGGGATTCAGGCATAAGAAGTAGAAGTAACAGGCAACTTCTCTTTTCTAACAAGTTATTTCTGTTAGGCATGGCTGGTAGCAGATCTGGGAGTCTTGGCTCAGTGAGCACGTCCTGTTCCATCTCCTTGCAAGGAGTTTTTCTCCATATGCTGCACCATCTCTCTCAGCTCATCTTACCCTCTTGCCTTTGGGGAGATGGGCCCTAGAATGGAAGTCATTTGCACGTTCTCATCAGCAGCTCCTTCTCATAAGGGAGTTTAAGTAATATGAATGGTGGAGGTAGATTTTATTTCTTTCTGGGTTGGCTTGTTGGGTTTGCCTTTTTTTCCTCTCTTCTGAGCCTGTAACTCAGGAGCAGTTAATTGAGAACTTCAGCTTTGACTAATATGTTTTACAAACAGTTGCAATGGGTTTGGAGCCTGTAGGGTCAACTGCTGATAAGCTGATTGCCTTTAGTTGTGCAAACATACCCTCAGATATTTCAAAATGAGGGCACCTGGGTGCTGAAGGAATGGAAAGGAATGTGTGCAGAAGTATGTGTATACACGTATGTATGTCTGTGTATAGTTCCACAGTTAGAATTTCTTCAACTGAGAGAACCACATCTAGGCACTGAAATAAATTTGTGTTTCATGTCTTTGCAAAGGGGAATACTTGGGGAAGTTGTAATTAATTGCAATTGTCAGCCTCTCTCTATCTTTGCTCTCTAAAGCTACGGAAGAGAAGTGTACCAGCTTTGCTATTCAGAGCATTTCCCTTAGCAGCTGAATCCTGTGGGAGAGTCCTCTTAGAGCAGCTTTTCTCTGCAGTGGACTTTCCTGACAAGATCACAGACGGCATTTGGTCTCTGAGTGTCATGATGAACATCCAGTTGGGTCTATTTTTACTTCTGAAATATGTTGAAAGATGCTATGGTGAGAAGAAGCAGTACAGTAAGATTTGGAAGCAGACTATACATGGTAATGCTTTTGGGGACAGTATGTGTTTTCCTTCCAGTTCCTGAAATTTCTTATGTATGTAAAACTTGAATTAGCGTCAAGAAAATAGTCTTGACTATCAATATTTTGATTTTCTCTTTGTGCACCAAAATTGAAGTTCTGTGCTTTATAGCTGCTCTGATACGTCCTTTTCAGCCTCAAAATTTTTCAATAAAATAAATTCACTACAGGAGTTACTGCTACTGCAAACAATTAATTGAGAAGAAAAATAATGATACACCTTAAGCTATTTTCCCTTATTGACATACTGTTCTTCACCCCTTTATTGTGCCCTGATGCTAGTATGATGTCAGAACAGCATTTCAAGGCATGAGAGAGAAAGTATTTTTACTTGAGAAGGTGGTTGGAGAAGTGGCTGAAACCTCAGCTGCTTTAACTACTGTTTATGGTGGGAATTGGGCAACTGACAGTTTTGACCAGATTATCCCTGGGTTTAGCGTGTCTGTCACTTCGCTGAGATTACAGACGCCAGGTTTTGTTGTGAACTGTTTTGCCTGTGCTGTGTAATCGGGATCCTGGCTGGCAGACCTTTGTCAGACCTGCCACCCTTGCTGGTTTGGGAGGTGACAGATACCTGCTCAGCACACAGGTGCTGAGGTGTCTCCTGTCATCTCCTTGCATTGCTACACACTCTCAGACACCACCAGCTTGCTGCATCCTTATGGCCTGTGGGGCTGGGTGCTATGGATGACATCTTGGCACTTGCAGAATGGACCAAGCTTGACTTGTCTGGGAGCAGAGCTGCTCTTTGCTGATGTTTTGGAGAGAAAGGGGTGGGATGTTGCTTGTTTAGCTCCTGGAGACAGCCAGTCCTTAGAAGATGACTGCTGGTAAGAGCTGTGATAATGAGGCAGAATGGTGATGTGTTCTATTAATGTTTCTTTTTTTGTTGTTTTCTTCCGCATTTCAGGAGGGGTGCTTGTGGCCTTCAGAAAGCTCGGTTTCGCGCCAGGGTGCTTCAGAGGTACTGACAGATTTCTGGCTATCTTCACCAAGTGATTTCTTTTTTTTCCCTGTAATTTGTATTTGGCTCCTTTCAAAAACATGAATCTATTTTTTGTAAAGGAAGCTTTTTCAGTGTAGTTCACACCGTCATCTAAGCCTGCTTTAACATGCATTTCATAAATTCCTGAGACTTTTCATAAAAGAATGAAATTCTGCCTACCTGACACCTCATCTCCATCAGCAACTCCCTGTGTCATAGTAGGCATTCACAACTAAGTGATGGAGGTGTGTCTCTTTCCCACAGTGGCTCAGTAATTTGAGTATTCATTGGAAGCTGGGAGACGAGTTCCTCTTGTCTGAACTTTTCTTGAATTTACACATATCCTGTCACCAGTGTTTTCCTTCCTGTGAAGGAATCTCCCTTCACGGATGCCTTGTCTGTGTAATAATTTGTGGGTGTATTGCCCTGAGTGGTCCAGCTGTCCTGTGACAAGCAGCAGCACTTCCTGGTGGTTGGCCCTGCATTGGTGAAGGTCAGGGGTGGAAGACCCTGCAGGGATCCAGAAAAGAGCAGTTTGATAGCTCTAGATCTGAGAAGCTGCTGTGTCTGTCCAGATCTGGGATAGACCAAGTGAGGAACAGCAGCACCTCACAGAGTATCTTGAAAGCTTCCTTTGTAAAGCCTGTCCTTTTCCAGGGTTTTAATATACCAGGGACGTACTTTCCATCGCAATGCAGAAGCTTTGTAGGTTCTCGCCAGAGGCTGAGTTCTGGCTGAGAACTGAGGGGGAGGAGGACACCTGATACACTCTGATGGTGAAGGTGTGAGATATGCTGAGCCTTTACAAATTGTACTAAAATGACCATCTGAATTCTTTGGGGATGCATTAACTCTGAGTAGGAGGGGGAAGCTGAAATTCAGTATTGGGACATTGTTGTAGAACTAATCAATTACCCAGACTAGAGAGAATTAATTTTCTGGTTTCAGAAACAGAATAATTTGTTTTTGCTCGGAATGTTTTAATGTCAGAAGGAGCTGTGTGGGATCTTGGGCTCCTTTGTGCAGCTGTTCTCGAGTGTGCTGGATCCTTCCTGCACCTCCTGCCTCTTCACCTGCAGGCATGTGGCTGCACGTGTGCACGGTATCTGCTGGGTTTAACCAGCAAAAAGAAGCATTTCTGTGTATAATCAGTTCATTGCGAGGATCGGAGCACCCGCGGCGCTTTGCGCAGAGGTGGAGTCACGCGTGTCTCTCTTCCCGTTTCAGATCATGTACGCCCCAAGGTCCAGGGACAGGTTTACCACCCCGTCTTTTATGCAGCGGGACCGTTTCAGTCGCTTCCAGCCCACTTACCCTTACATGCAGCATGAGATTGACCTTCCTCCGACCATCTCCCTCTCGGACGGCGAGGAGCCGCCGCCGTACCAGGGCCCGTGCACCCTGCAGCTCCGGGACCCCGAGCAGCAGATGGAGCTCAACCGGGAATCCGTCAGGGCGCCGCCCAACCGAACCATTTTTGATAGCGACTTGATAGACATCTCCATGTACAATGGGGGTCCCTGCCCACCCAGCAGCAACTCGGGCATAAGTGCAACCAACTATAGCAGTAATGGAAGGATGGAAGGACCACCCCCGACGTACAGCGAGGTCATGGGGCATTACCCAGGCTCCTCTTTTTTCCATCACCAGCACAGCAACATGCCTCCTTCCTCGCAGAGGGGGAGCAGACTTCAGTTTCAGCAGAACAATTCAGAGAGCACAATAGTCCCCAGCAAGGGCCAGGACCGGAAGGCAGGAAACCTGGTCTAAGTTACCTGCGCAGGTGCGTTGGGACTGAAGACGGGAGAGCCAAGCAGGGCGGTGGAGGAAGAGCCCCGTGCTCCGGTGCACAGTGTTGTTACGCTTCACGTGGTACAACTGAGTAAAACCAAACGTGCAAACCAGTTCTTTGTTTCTGATTCCTTTCAGGGGAATTGCATGCAAAGCAGATTGAAAGAAATACAAACTTCCATTCAGTTTGTCTATGAGCAGTGTTTCAGGGGAAAGGGGGGGGATATATTATTTTTTTTTAATAAACTATTTCAATTATTTAATTCTAAAAGTTAACTTAGCACAGAAATGAGGCTTGTACAGCCTGTTTTATACTCACTGAATGGCAGAAGGAAGAAGGTGGTTTTGCTAGATAAATGGGGGAAGAATTGGCCAGTTTGCTTTTTTTTTTCTCCCAGGGTGTGAATTTTTTTTTAATATGAAACAAAATTCCTGTTCTGTGTGCCAAGGTATAAAGTTGAGAACTTAGATGAATGCAAGGAATTGTGTTGTGATAAATGTGTTTTTAAAAGTTGCACTATCTTACTGTTTTAAAAAAAATATATATGAGGGAACTGTTTTATGTGAAGTTCTTCTATATGTTGTTGTTTCACCTGTGGAATAATGATAGAGCCCTAGAAGTAATCTGGAGGAGTTTGTCCCCTCCCCCCACGTTTGCTAAAAGATGGGGACAGGACTTAGCCTAACATCTCTTGACTTATACAATTCAAAAAATACAGGGACACTTGTCTTTGCAATAATTTGCATTCAAATAACAGTGTATCAATGAAGTGTCTTGGAGACTTTTGGATGGAAGAAGGCAAATGTGAAATCCCAGCATTTTCCATCACTTAAGGTTTAGCTGTTTTGCAGTGTAGACTATTTCTTTCATAAATGGCAAAACTACAATTCCCAGATGCGTTGATTTGTATTGATTCTAAGTGCTGCCATTCTTTTCCTTTTCATAATGCAGTATCACCAGTACTTACTGCTCTAGAGATTTTTGTCCTCACTGTAGCCTGAAATGTATCTAGTCACATATCATGACATTATGCAATAAATCGTTTGAAAATGCAGGGTGGGATTTTTTTCCCCTGCTCTGCTGTTCAAGTACGTGAGGCTGTTGTGGTTTTCGCTCTCCATTTCATCCTTTCAGATGCTGATGTTCGGTCCTGGAGGTCCGTCCTGTTGAAGTGAAGGGGGCCCTTGTGGCTAAACCCCCCCGTGGTGTTTTTGCAGCAGTACCAAGAGCGCTCGTGGCAGTGGTGCCAGCTCCTGTCGCATCCCTGGCAGGGTCGTGGGTGCACCAGGAATTCTCCCTGCAAACCATTTTGCTCTGGGCCCTGTTGCAGAAACCCTTCTGGGTGCATGATGTCTGCCTGATGCCAGCAGGACTGTGCTCATGGGTAAAGGTGACTCGTGTTCACCAAGTGTCTGTAAGCCCTGATTTTTGCTATACTGGCCTGGAGAGTAGTTGGGAAGTGTTACCTGCCTGTGTTGTGGCATGTGGGCTGTTTCTCCACAGGCTTTTCCCGTGTGGAAGCACGCACAGTGCTGGAACTCGGTTGACAAAAGGTGATAGTGGCATCACAAGCACATGAAAAAGCACAAATTGCACTTAAAATGCATTTTGGAAATGGACTTAAAAGTAAGAATCTTTAGAGTCTTAGCTTGAATAGTTTCTAATATATAGGTGTATGAGTGTGTCATAGACCTCTTCACTTTAAGATCTTTCACTTTTTTCTGTTTCCCTGAGCCTTGTGCTTGGTTGCGGGCAGCAGCCGCTGAGTGCCCCAAGGGCACCGATGCCCTGGTCCCACGGCTGGAGGCTGGATTTCTGCAGGACTTCTGTACACGAGGGACTCTGATGACTGAAGTGCATCTTTGATCTATGCAGAGTTTTAATGCCAAAACAGTGTGTGTGTGCGTCTGTGTGTGTGTGTGTGTCTTTTGGGCCTCAGTGTAGATTTGTTTTCTTCATAAGTTAATTTGATTTTATTCTAGTTTAGAAAACATTTGTATAACTGTTAGTCTGAATACACAGCCCCATTTGTCTCTGTAATTGTTATTTTGGTCTGAGTCATGCTGGTAATGCAGAGTAAAACTGCCTTTTTTCGTATGTATTAATTGAAGGGAGAGAGAGAGATTGTATGGTGGGGTTCACTTTTTTTTTTTCCTCTCAGACCCGCAGGACAGATGTTTAGAAGATGACTAGGTGGCTTTCAGTCAGCTGGGACTCTCATCACTGTCTGATTCCTGGGAATAAAAGTTGTGAAATTAGATTTTTGCAAAGAACCTACGAGCATAATTCTTAGTTAAAAACAACAAACAAACAAACAAAACTGAACCAGAGGACAAAGCCAGCAGATGTTGGTTTTGGTCTTCAGTGACTTCTGTCACTTGATGAGTGAGCCTTTAAGCCAGAGAATGTGTGTGCCTACACAGTTACTGTGCTGTTGCCTAAACGAGGATTGTTTAGCTGAGAAGCCTTCAGGTGAGAACAGCTGGAACTCAGTTGTCATGGCAGAGCACACCTGGACTGGGCCCTGGGCTTGGGCGGGTTGAAGACTGACTTTCCCCATTTACAGATCTCAGCAAAGTGAGCCTTGAAGTTGCCTTCAAAGTCGCCTCTTGGGAACTTTCTTTAAAAACAGCCCTTTGCCATCTTTTACCCTCTCTGCATGCCAGTGGATTTATGCTTTTCCCATTAACATTGTGCAGTATGCTGTCTCTTAATTTTTCTTGGCTGAGAACATTCTTCTGACTGGAAAATGTAGCCTTTTCCAGTTCTTTAGAAAAGATTTGTTTAAAAGTAACTTGGTATTTGCTCACCTAATAGTTGCATCTCCTCTTGCACCTTTGTCTTCTCATCCTAGAATCATAGAACAAGCTGAGCTGGGAGGAACCTATCAGGATCATTGAATCCAACTCCTGGCCCTGCACAGAACTGTCCCCAAGAGTCACACCATGTCCTGAGAGCACTGTCCAAATGCTTCTTGAACTCTGTCAGGCTTGGTGCTGTGGGGGAGCCTGTTCCAGTGCCCAGCCCCCTTCTGGGGGAAGAATCTTTTCCTAATACCCAACCTAAACTGCCCCTGGCACAGCTTCCAGCCATTTCCTTGGATCATCAGGGTGAGGACGTCAGTGCCTGCCCTCGTCTTTTCCCCATGAGGATGTTGTAACTACACTGAGGTCTCCCCTCAGTCTTTTCTGGGCTGGACAAAGAAAGTAACCTCAGCCACTCCTCACATGGCTTCCCCTTGGGACCCTTCTTCATCCTCATGGCCCTTCTTTGGACACTCTCTAATGGCTTTAACGTCATTCTCTGCTTTCCCAAGTGTAATGTGCTGACTCTCAGCTCTGGGAGTGCAGTGATTAGTTTATTTGCTATAGGTGAGCTTGCAGTCTGCTTTGGGGCCTCTTTCAGCAGTAAATGGGCTGTTTTCTGATGGATGTTAGTGCTCTCCAAGGGAAAGGCAGTCAACAGTGTAACACTGAAACACTTTGTTTTTCTATTTTTTCTTCCATTGACTTGGTAGAGAATCTGCTCTTGATAACAGAACAGAATGGTAAAAGACATACCAGAATTAGATAGCACTATCAATCTTTATAGGCTTAGTGAGTGAGCTCTGAATTGGTGAGCTCTGATGATAGGTAATTCTATGAAGCATTTATGGAAGACCAGCTTTGAAAATATCCAGAATTGATAGACTGTATTCCAGAGCCACTCAATGAAACTTTGTATAAATTATACAAGTTTTCTGCAAACACTGTAGCATTGTCTATATTTTGTCTCCATACTGATCTTCTGGCTTGTGTGTCTCATGCGCAAAACCCACATAATATGTGTGTGGTGTTTTCTATGTGATGGATCATATTTGCCTGTATTCTGGTTGCATCTTCTGACTTTGCCCAGTAAATCATGTTCCCAAAATTCCCAGCATAGTGATGTCTCTACTTTAGAAATTTTCTGGTTAAAAGATTTTTTTTTTCTTTTAAATGCACCTTTATGAAATAAAGTTTTATGACCTCTGTCCTACTGCAAAGACTAATTTTTCCCTTACATGTCTTGGTATGGCTCTCTTCCTGATGCTGAATATGCCCCATCTTTGATGTTTTTGTATGATCTTTCAGAGCTAGAAGTGCATGGGGTTTAGCAAAGGAAAAAACCAGTTTCTTTCCCAGTTTACCCATGGGGCACTTGGGACATAGCTCTAATTCTGTACCTATGTCTAGAACAATTGTGGTTGGGCTCCTCTCAGTGCTGGACAAGCAGACTGAGTGGGATGCTGCTTAAAAAGTGTGAGTGAGAGACAGGAAGAAGGGTACCCAGCCAACAGTGCAGTGTTCAGATCCTTTTTCCTGGCATGTGTGGCACGTGCAGAATTCACAGGAATTTGCATGATAGGATGTTTTCATCAGGGAGGATCTAATAATGCTAGTCCTGGTCTTGTCACTGATGAACTCTGCATGTAGGCCAGTCTTGGGCTGATGGGACTTTATTACAGCATGGATTTCCCCTGGGAGTATGAAAACTCAAGCATACCCTCCCTGTACAAGTTCCTGATGGCTAGTGAGGAAGATGATTGCATTCCTGCACTCATGGAATCTGCAGGAGCCATGAGTTAAGCTGTGCTTCATTTGGCCTTTTATTACTGCTTGTCCATTTCTTACACCAGTTTCTCCCAGCTGGAAGCTGCTTCTGTTATGCCAAATCCCAGAATGTTCTTGTTGCAGATACATTTTGTTTTAAAAGTGTCATTGAGAGTTCTTGTGAATCAGGTGCAGGGAGGGGTGCAGGGAAGGATAAGGAGCAGAATTGCATTGTTTTTTAAGGAATGCACTTTGCAATAGAGAAGAAATCCTTGTCCTGCTGAAGAGCCCTGTGTGGAGGCTGTCTGGAAGGAACAGTGCTGTCTTGAGGCAGTCGTTTCTAACCCTGCCAGGTAGTGAGATATTGGGCCTTAGAAATGACACTCTAATCTGTAAGGAATGTTTGAATGCTTTGGAGGATTGATTGCTAACCTTTCTCTGACTCTATCTCTGAACACTCACGGTAGCTAAGGTAACCTGATTTTGTAGGTGAGGAAAAACAAAATAGTAAGTTGGTAAAAAAATATTGCGTCAATATTTTTCTTGCCTTTTTCTTTTTTTTCCCTCCCCAAGGATAAATAATAGGCTTGCTGGCACATTTGAAAGGATTTAGGATTATTCACAGGTTCTCTCTGGTCATTACAGTGAAGTCATGCACATACAGACCTGCGTGCAGACTTGTCCCCTTGATTCTGTCTGTACTAGTTTCTATTCCATGATCACCTTCCAGAAGTGCTAAATGGCTCTGTGTTGTGCTCTCAGTAACAATGGCAGGTCATTTGTCAAACAGCAGGAAGCCTGAGGAATATTTGCTTTTCAGTCCTGTAAATGTCATGACCTCTGTTTTTATTAGGGAGCTTTCTTGCTGCACCAACTCTTGCCTGTGACCTGGTGTGCTCGTGCATCTTCCATCCAACATCTCTCTCCTTTTGGGTGAGCTTTGAAAAATCTCTGTGCTTTGGGATAACCCTAATGCAGAACCTTGTGTATTGCTGTACAGGAAGGAAGTAATACTAGTGTACCCTAAATCTCACAAGCATATTTTTTCAGACCTAGCTGATAATGAGAACCAAGTGGTCCTTCTGTGCAGTGAGTTCAGATGAAGTCTGGCTTTTGATTACATCCTTGCTTTTTAGATAAAAGCTGTTGCACATAATTTAATTACACATATCTGGTCTTTCTCTGCACTGTGTTGCCTGCTTGCCAACCAGTACAATTACAGCTTTTCTCCTACACTAACCCCAAATGTGTCAATCATTTCAGTCCCTGGAAAGAGGCAGTCTTACTTAGCTCTCTGAGACCTGCTGAGGCCTTCTAGAACACGGAATAGTCCCTTGTGAGCATGTGTTGAACTTCAAGAGGTTTCCCATCCAAAAACTGGTCTGTATGTTTCATTAGGAAATTCAAGTTTAAGGTTTTGAGAGTATGCTGACTGAAAATGTTGGCAGTTTCTTTTTTGTAGTTAATATATTGTTTGCCAGCCTATCCTCACTAATCAGGGATGTAAATTATCTTTTGAGCCACCTCTGATTGCATTTTTGGGCTGGCAAAAAGCCCTGTTGGGCACACTTGCACCAGCGAAAAAAAAAAAAAAAAAAAAGTAGTTTTCTTGGTACAGCTCTTCCTTTATTCTATTTACAGGAATAAACGAAGCTGCACCACTAAGTTCATCCTCCAAAACCACCCTGAGACCTGCATTGGCTCTTCCCAGCAAACTGAAGTGTAGGTGTTTTGATGAAGTGCTTTGCTGCACTATTTAGTACCACAGACATGCAGTGGAGGGGCCTACTGATGTTCTCTTGAAATTGGCATTGGCATTGAGTGTTTTTCAGGGATGCTAATGCTGTTTTGGTAACCACCCAGTACAATTCTCCTGCTTTTGAAAGGGAAGATCAAGGACCATTTCGTGTCACAAACTCTCCTGGCTCTTACTTCTGCCTTGCTGGTGTCTCTTCTGTTTTTAGACTGAACACAAGCAACCTGGGTATTGCTAGCGTTGCTTTCTTGCTATGAAAGAGCTTACCTTTTTGTGTTGATTAATGATAGAAAAACAAAACTGTAACTTCCCCTGTAAATCACAGACATGTGATTTACTGCCAGAGATGACGCTGTTTTCTTTGCTATATTGCTGCTGCTGTTTTAAGTGGTTTGGTGTGTGAGCTTTCTGAAACAACACGGTGTGTGTAGGATCTCGTGGGTGACAAAGCTGTCTCTTTTCTTCTTCCTTTCTCTCCTTGGTTTGTGCTTGTCCGTCTGCTGTGGTAGGTTTACTAATAAATTAAATACATCCTTATTAGATATAATTTTGAGGAGGTTTGCATGTCCGTAGTTTGTAAGCAACTAAGGTGCCTCATGTTCAGGTCTGAGCAGATAGGAATCCCCTTGCACTCAAGAGGGCCTGATCCAAAGCCTGCTGAAGTTGGTAGGAAGACTCTTGCCAACTTCAGGGGGCTTTGCATCTGGCCTTACACTCCCACCTTTGTTGTGCCTCACTTAAAATGGTGCTTTTTCAGTTGTCTGTCTTTTTTTCTAGTTTTTTTTTTTCTTTGTATGGTGCTGTGTATAACTTGAATATATTATGCACATATCCTACCCAATGGGTAGAACAAACAAACATACAAAAACAAATAGATGTTGTTAATACTGTAAGATAGTGTACAGATGATACCAATTTTAACACAAAAAATGGCATAGACTTTGTGAATGCCAATCTGTGCTTGGTCCTTTTTTTGTAAGAAAGTTTGCAAATGAATGCATACAAATGACAAAAAGTCTATGTATTTTATTTTCCTATTAAATATCAATATAATATCATAAGGGAAAAAGGTTAAACAAATCCTTTTTGACAAGCCTGTGTATAGCAATTAGTCGTTTGATGCATCTTTGCTGTGAAAATTTCTGCTGTTTTTTTTTTAATGTGTCACTTTAAAAAAAAAGGAAAAAAACCACAAAACAAACAAAACCTCCACAGCTTTAACCTTGCAACTAGATGCTTCTCGTATTGGTTGTTGCCTTGCTATTGCTGAGTTGGACCAGTATTAGTTACTAC